AGCATACCAAAGAACCACGCAATACAAACAGCGTGGTGTGCACGGTAGTCAGTTGACGAAAAAATCTTGGAAACAGTTATACGGTGAGGCGGAAAGAAATCGAAATCAACGGAAACGCAGAAACTTACTAAATCAGCCCAGTATGAAATCCCTGTTAAGTAATTTAAAATATGAATAAATTGTAGTATCTGCCGTCACAAAACTTAGCATTATGGAGTAAAATTCAAATCGTTAAAATATGCATCTGGAAAATGCAACGACACCAGCTCGAAGACGGCTCGTCATTAAAAAAAAACGAGGGCATTGCTCCAGCTTTAACCTCTCATACAGGTGGCTGGCCACCTTGAAATGCATGATCCTTACGCATCTTGCTGCCGATTCAACAGTGGTTGGGCAGCTGAATCGGAAAATAATTACAAAAAATAACTTTATCATAAAAAGTACATATCATCGCAAGTTCACTTTCAGCGCATCGAAGGGAATTAAAAACTTCTGTTCATCTATTCCACGCAATAGAAGTAGTTCTAAACTACGACGGACATCCGCTACTTTGAAACGCGATACTAACTGTAATAATGGTAGATTGATGTTCAGAGTTAAATAAAAATTTTGTATATCTCATACAGTAATGCGAAATACTAACAAGGGCCTTTTTCTGACGATCCCGATGCCCTTTGATCATCGGGGACGTATACCTGCTGTGCCGCGTGCTGGACAATTTCTGAGTTATACCCGCATCGATCCTTGACTTTGTTGAGGGCAAGACTTTGTTTCCTTGCCCAGTACTTCGTTCTCACGTATTGTTCACGCTCATTTGCAACTGCTCATCTTCTCTGTCCTGACAGATGATTCCTTGTTACCTGAGTGACGATGTACCCCGTTTCTCCTACGTTAAATATCCCGCAATTAGACGGTAATTTGTAAACCTAGCCTCGCGAGTTGTTATCCTCGTTGTCTAAGTAATTCCGCGAATACCGTTTCTGCGCTTTGTTTACTTGGGCAACGTCGAGAGAAAAAACAGCGATTTTCTGGAAAAGATTGCACGCCGCTAATGACGCATAGAACCGTCTTCTCTTACATATAGCCATGCTTCGGAGCCGACGACATCAATGACGGTTCGTCATCCAAACAGGGCCAACCAGGCAAGG